TTTTAAACTTCATTAAAGAATACAATTTTGTACAAATAATTGAATGTTACGCTACTATTTATAAAAATAAAATCAGAAATCCATTAAAAGATAAGTTCTTTATCATTTTTTCAATTCACAAATGATTTTGCCCTCACACTTGCAGTCCCCCAGTGGCACAGCGGTATGTCTGTGGACTTACAACGCTAGAAACCGGGTTTCGATACCCGTGGTGGGCAGAGCACAGATAGCCCTTGTGTAGCTTTGTGCATAATTAAAAACAAACAAATCACACTTGCATTGCCTACTAAGAAAGTTAGTACCGGTAGTCATTGGGTTAATTAACTGTAGTTTTCGCTCCCAATGTACAGAATATTCAGCAAAATTTCAACATAGGCCTAATGATTCATACGCTGCACCTCTCTTCGACAGACAAAAAAATACTAGTCTTGTAAATAATTTTCAACTCATTTTCATATTATTTCTTTAATACCATTAGAAAACTAAAAATCCACTGATTTAAAACCTTATTTTACACTATTAAGAAATCCTCAACAATTAGTTACTTTTTTATGTGAGACTTAGACTGGCAGACATTAGGAAAACATTTAGAGTAATGTTTACAGTTTGATATTAAATCATGTATATTTTTAAATTTAGTTATAATCATAATCAGTAGATAACTGATTAAAAAAAGTATGCAACATACATGTAAGTACATCATCATGTAAATATGTCATTCGTCGATGTCAGATAAAAAACCCTTTAGGCACTAATCTGTATAAAACTGCCAGAGTAACATTTGCTACATAGAAAAAAACTCTGTTAAGTAATAATTTGCATTTATGAACTGTGCTTTTAATATCTGAATACTTTTAAACACTTTTTTTACCTTGCAACTGATTCTTAAAATCTCTGTTGTATAGATTTTCATTTATTAAACACATTACTTAAAATGTAGAAACGTGTCATCTTTCTTGAACAGTTATTATTAAGTTAGAGTGGCATACTTTTTATTTTTGGACATTTCATCATACTGTAAAACTAGTGTGTTTGGGCCTAAATTTTTTATTCATTCAGCTATTATTTTTTGTTTAGTATATCACAAGTAGCATTTCTTAAAGTGTAACAATGTTGTATGGGGTTTGTTTAACCAAGTAAAAAGATGATTTTCTTTCCATTAAAGAAAACCCCAAGTGTATGGTACATTTGTGTTATATGTTAACCAGCTTACATAATATTTTCTGAAGAAGCTGTGATATACATGGTTAATTAATCACTCCCTGTTTCCAAAAGAAAACATCAATCAGAAAAATAGAAATGACACTTATCTTGGCTATTGTCATTGGCAGTATTACTAACCTTCAAATAATTAGTCTTGTTCTATGCTTATTCACACTGCTAATATTTTCTTTTTATTATCTTATTTGTTTAAAACAATAAGAAGCTGTATTCATAAATATTTTCCACTTTTGTTTGTTAATCAGTGGTAGACTTGTGCAGATTATATGGTTGGAACATTAAACAGAATTAATCTTAGCTTAAGAGACTCATTTTTAGTGCTGTGAGAAAGCCATTTGTGTGTTTGCTATGGACACTTTATTGCATTACAGACAGGTTAAGTCATAAGTGACATCTGAATTAATTGAGTAATTAAAAATTTCTATTTGCTTGCTGAAACTTGCTTCTGAAGACAAGAGAGTGCTTATTTTGACCACTGTGAACATTACCAAATACTTATACCTTCTGTATGTTCAAAGACCTTCAACAATTTTATTTAGTTATAGTTTATAACTGTAAGATATTCATACATTTGTAGCTAAGGATACATCATTGTATTTTTCATTCATAGTTAGTTTAGATCCATTTTAGCCTGTATAGGACGATTTTCTCATAAATTTGGAACTCTGTCAAGAAATGCTAGCTATGTCAAAATAGATATTGTTGAGCAACCAGACATATAGCAGGTAAAAAAAAAGGGCTGAATTTCATTATAAGTCTGTACATCTTCATTAAGATCTTTATATGTAAAAGTTAAACTTTAACTCATAATTTTAACCACTGTATATATCCAAATTGTATGTACTTAACAAATACAAGCCAAAAATAGAAATGTGTGCTGATACTTCTTCCACAGAGGCCAATTTCTTTAGCTCATAAAGTTTTGGATTATTTGATTTTATCTAACTAATTTTTTAAATTTGTACATATTAGTTACTTTTTAAAAAATATAAACAATAAGTAAAAATAAGAAATTTAGCACTTTTTTTCTGTGGTGCAGTAACCCTACTTTTTTCAAACTATGCTTGTTATCCAAAAACTAATTAATCTATTTTCAAATATGCATTTTTAGATGCAAAAATATGTGAGGTACTAGAATGGAATGTTCCAAAACTAATAATATTTATCTTGCTTTCTAACTAAGCTATAAATAGGTTAAAAAAAATTCTGGCACTACTGTGTGCAAAGACTATTCATCAGACATTAATCTTTCCTTGTGAACTACCATCTTTGACTGTCAAAACTAAACAAGCAAACTTAAGATTCCTGTACATTAAAATATACAGTTTCTATTCGTTATAAGCATGTCCATCAGACATATAGATGTGATGTAGATAATTGGCTTTAAATGGATGAAAAGATTGGAGTGGGCTTTTTTAGTTTGATTGACAAATTTATTGATATTTCAGCAAACCAAGAAGGTAAGAGGTTCATATTTCATATTCTTACTTGTCATTATATCTAGCTTTCATTTTTAATTTATCGTAGGCCAAATCAGCTGCCTATTTTTGACTTTAGAAATTTCTAAAAGGGAGAAATCAAAGTGTCACATGACACAGAACAGTGAAAATTGAGAAGTTTTCTATTAGATAGTTCTTTTTGACAGTAATAAGTTAAAACATAGATAATATTAAAAATAAAATAAAACACTACATTTTCATGCCATCTTTATTGACATATATTCATATTAAACTTGTTTAATTAAATTTTGAATGTAGCTTTGTAAAATGTCATTACATGTGCAGTTTGAATCTGCTGTGCACATGGGGTTAAAAACTGGTTGAAATGGACTTAACCCCCTCAAAAGATCATTTCAAAAGTGAAAAAAAATAGATTTTTTAAAGTAATTATTTGGTTGTTACATATTTGATATTTGTTATGACACACACTTTTTTCAAACTTTTACCATATATGTGTAGTAAATATTGTACTTTGTATTAGTTATATTATTTGGTTGATTTTGTTTTCACTTTAATTAAAGTGCTGAAAGTTTAACATTTTCTAGTCTTAATTAATAATACAATTGTTGGTATTAGGGGAACTTACATTGGTAAGAATAATATAGTGTACAACATATTCCATAAAAAATAATAGATAAGTGTTCTTTAGACTTATGCATGCTATAGAAGTTGTAATTTTAACTTTCATTAAGAAAAGTAGAACAAGACATTTCTATGAAAGATTTTGTTCTTGACACTTTTACAGTCATATTGAGACATAGGTTGTTAGCCATTAAAATGTAGAATATGCAGTTTGAGTTGTATGTAGAATCTTTCAAAAAAGATGTTACATCATTTAAGAACATGAAAAAATAACAGTACAAAATTTAAATCATTTGTATGTATTGGACTTTTCACCCAACAGTAAAATCAGACACAATACACGTTGTTACAGCACTCGTTTGTTTAGATAATATTTTCTGACATATCAGCACAAATATTGTGAGGAGGACTTCATGTGTCAGCCAGTTACTACATGTATATATTAAAGTAGCAAAAGTTAAAAATGTAATTCATTTGTCACTATATGAAAGAAATGGTATATCTTAGAGTGAATATTGAATAAAGAATTAGTATGTCAGGTTTTGGTAATTTTGATAACACTAATCGATTAGTTGGAAGACTGTTGAGTGTTATCCTAACAAGTTCTTTCACTTACTGTTTGAACTATATTATTCTCCAGTCATCATTAAGTTGCAGATTTCTTTGCCATTTAGACATAAAAAGAATGGCAATGATGCAATCCCATAAAATCTGTCAAGAGAAGGAAGAAGTGTACAAGTTAATATTAAGGTTTCCATAATTGTGAAGTTACTCATATGAATTTAGCAGATTTACAAATGTATTTGAGCTTTAACATTTGAAATTTAAATTATTTTGATGCTTTTATGTTTTCTACCAACCTTGTTTATATTGTTAAAACTATACTTAATAATCTTTTTAGTTCATCATTTAAAACCAAGCATTATGTTTTATGATGAAAAACTAGCAAGAAAAAAAGTTAAGATAGAAGTATGTTGTAATTTAAGTGCTATATTGTTTCATATCTGTGAAATAAATAATATTGTGTTAGAGTTTAAACATTACATGCTCTTTTAAAATAGGTCATTTCATATTAGATTGTTTGTACTTTGACATGTATATTTTTGATTTCTAAATTTTATAGAATTTCCAAGAAATTTCTTGAACATTCTTAACGTTCAAACTACTCACAAAAATGAATAAATCTAATTTACATAAATACCTTATTACTACATGAATATAGACATGAAATATTGTTTCTACTTGTATGATTTTGTACTTATACAGTATACATGAGTCTGTTCTTTCAAAGAAATTAAACACTGAAGAAAGAAGAATTAATAGTTATTCTATTTTTGGAATACCTTTTTACAATAGTTATGTCATACTTATTTATTTTGGATCAGTACATTAACATATTTGTCTTGAATCAGGAGAAATGTTTTAGAATCTTTTAGGGCTCCGGTATTCAGAACAGGACCTGATAAGGATGGATTCAGTTTAGGAAAATATGCCAACTTTGCTGAAATATTTGGAGATGATAAAAGGAAGTGGTTTCTTCCACTATTTACAAGGTATACCCAATTGAGAATTAATTCATTTTAATAGTTTTTACTTTGGAACTTCCCATTATGATGTGGGAAATATAGCTTAATTTTCATTAACACAAAATTACTTTCTGATTCCTGAGAAATTATTTCTTTAAAAAAACATTCTATGACATTTAAGTTAGACATGGGTGTTCTGTGTGTACCAAAAAGAAGACTTATCAGTAATTTTATAATGTTTTATAGACTTCTCTAATTATTTGGAAAATGTTTAATTGGGTTATGCAGAATATAAATGTAAAGCTACAAAAATTGGTACTGAATTATTACTAAACTCAAACTTTGTGGATGTGTAGAGCTGCTGGGACAAACAACCTCTATTGAGAGTGTAAAAAAAATGCTTTTTATATTTTTTCCCTGTAAATTTAGAATGATAAAAACAGTGGTAACAGTTAAACTTTTATGAAGGAAGTTTAAGAAGGATAAAAATGTGATTCATTATTTGAAAATCAAGTTTAAAAACTTGAACTACAAAGTTTATTTATTGAAACTTAAAACTCCAAAACATTCTCTCTTTTTTTTCAGAACTCAACACAATATGAGTAATTTAGATCAAAGTTGTATTATCCACTGTGAAAAATAGTTCTAATCCGGTTTGGATTTATAGTAAAGGCTCGTTATAGAATCCTAAACTGTGAAACTAAATTAAGGCATTGGTGAAAAGATTTAAGGTCTGAAAGGTATATGTTCATTCAAGGAATTAAATTCTTTTTCTTTTATTCATATCATAAGAGATTCAGTCTATTTTTAATGACTCGTATATATAATATAACGGTCTCACATCGTCTATTAACTGTGCACTTGACTGGCCAAATAGCATTGAGAAGAGTAAAGCACAAAATGCTATTTCATAAAGGAACCTGAAATGTTATTAATCATTGTACTAAAGTTATTGCATTTATAATAACAACATAGAAAAATCTTGTAATTCAATAGCAAAACAAACTTAACCTTTGTACTGTCTCCAAGCTTTCAAACTTCAGTTGTAGTAGACTGAGTGTCTGTTTCATCATACCAATTTTAATTTGATGTCACTCGTATCCATCTATCTATATATATGATCAAATGAGCATGTTCATATTAACCCCACTCTTTAACATGCACATACTTAAAAAGTGTATAAAAACACATGGTGCAATTGGCTTCAAAACACTGTTTATGCTCAGAAATACAAAAACTATTTCTGCATGTAAGAACTAGAACAGTAATTACATGCTTATTTTTTGTGTAGGTTCTACATGAGACTACAGTTAAAAAAATATATTTCTATACTGGAAGAAACTTTTTCAGATATTTGGGCCAAGATACAAAAGTGCTGGTTGCACTAACTATCCCTAAGGAAAGGTAGCTAGTCAGTAGTACCTACTGCCGACTGTTGGGCTTCTCTAATTAGATAATGGGATCTGTTCATCACTCTTATAATGCACTTACAGCCCCAAAATCCACAACTATGGACCCTCACATTCACAGTTCAGCATGCTAATCACTAGGCTACACCTAGCCCATGAGGTGAAAGAACTAAAATAGTTTAAGTTGAGATTAAACACTATAAATTGATTAATTTGGCATAAAACTAATGACTAGATACGTATATAAAACAATTATCTAACAACACTCCTAGCTCATGTCTTGATCTCATAAAAAATTGAAAATTTACAAAAGTTAAGAATATGCTACAGAAGATTGGATTAGAAGATCTCAAAAATAGCTACATTTACTTTAGAGGTTATTGATTTGTTTCAGGGAAGAGTGTTACATGTATATCTAAGCTAGTTCAGTTGTCTTTTTGTATATACAGGTAAGTGTTGGCTAGCACTATGTATACTTTCATGCTCAAAACAAAATACTTGACATACATGTAATCTGCTATAATGTTGTAAAATTCACTGCGCAGTGGATAATAGTATAGAACTTGTTAATTTGAGGGAGCTGTTCAATTACAAATTCATCAAAATCATAACAGACGTTAATAAACATTCATTAAATTTGTAAAATCTGAAAACAAGTAATTAGTAGCATGAAGAAGTTATTCAAATAAATTTATTAACTTCAATAACTTGCTACACATAAGTATGCTAAGCTGAGATATTACAAATAATATATTGTTATATTTTGAGAGTTATGAGAGAAAAGTTATCTATAGTATGTATTATTGAGTGTTTCTTGGAAACTTTGTCAATCCTAAGAGGATAATTTACTAATTTTATAGACACAAGTTACCTAATAAAAATTTTTCTTTGAAGTCAGTAGCCAGATTGTAAAACAGTGCTACTAAATATACATCATAGTAAATTCATTTTTCTCTATTCTTTTTTTAATCTGATTTTAATTTTGATTAACTAAAATTGTATGTCTGTATGCAGTACTTGTTATTTCTGTATATACTTGTGATTGTTAAAGTGAGAAAACTCAATTTTAAAAATTTAACAGCTTGGGAGATGGTGTAAACTTTCCAACTCATACTCAGCCAGGTAGTTCTTACAATTCAATGGGTTCCACAACTCAAACAAGGTAAGCCACTTCACTGTATAAATATCATTTGAGGATGAAAGAGTAGTTGAATTAGATCATAAACCATATTTAAAACTACAAAAACAATTGTTACAAGGAAAATTTGGCCATCTTCTTCTCTTTATTTTTGTTTAGAAATGATGTTTCAATTTGCCAACACGGGTCTTCATTACATCCATCAGAACCTGAGGTAGAGCTTTGTTAAGAGATCTAAATATTTTTTGGTTTTTGTTTCAAGCAAACTTACTCTTGTAGATGAAGCCTGTTGTACCTTTCAAGTGGAATTTCTGTCCTTCACCCATTAAAAAAAATTTAAACTGTATCATTTACTGATTCATGATTCTGTCTATGAGATCCTCACTTAAAGGCCATATCTGGTCTTTCACAATCTGCATAATGACAGGTTGAGTACTAAAGTTGTGTATGTACATTTTATTTTCACTTACCTGTTGTTCTTGCCATATGCCCTCAGACAACCAAAAAAGTTGATAAGCTTAAAGAAATACTTTAATTAAAAATAGTTTCTTCTTTAAACATTTTTGTTTCACGTATTAACTAACTAATTAATACAAGTTAGAAATATTCAACCAGAGTGAATGATTCTACAGTATTGTGTTCCTCTTGATATGTATTATCAAGCATCGGTCCTCAAGGGGTGTACTGGCATAATTCCTGAACAAAAATCAGCCATTTATGACCTTAAAAAAATATTGTGAAGTTGTTTTACTGCTGTGGTAAAACAAATATGGCTTCTGCTGCTTTAATGGTAGTACAGTAATTAATGGGTGCAGTCTTGTAACTTTCTGCAGTTCAGTACAAAATCTGTGTAGTTCACGCAGTAGAGCTGCAAAAATAAGCACACTCTAACTGCCAGAAGTTTCTATTGGTGCACTTGTGAATGATCCAGTTTTGTAGTAAAAAAAAAAAAAAAGTTGTAATGTCATTATTTGCATTTATTAGGACTACATCTGGTGTTTTAATTTGCTAAATTAAACCTGCGCCAAATTTCACCTTTTGAAATAGTAAAATAATTCATAATTAGTTAATTACTTTTCATCACTAAATGTTACTGCCTGACTTTGTAGAAAAAAAAAAAAAATTGCTCCCACTAGCATAATTTTGGGAGTAATTTTTCCTTATAGAAAAACATTATCTGGAGCACCAAAGCATAAAATATGTTCAATATTGCCCAAACAATTTACACATTTTGTTTTTTTTCATATATATTATAAGAAATGCATGGCAACATCTTAAAACTTTAGTCCCAAAAGTTCATTTGTTTCGTTGTTTGAAAGAGTATTACAATACACAAAATTTTGTAGATTATTTTTAACTACTTTGAAAGATTTTGGCCCAATAGTCTAATATTTTAGTTTGACTCTAGAAAGCAAGTGTTTATACAAGTCCAATTCCAAATGTTTGAAGAATTGAAGTGTTGAAACACCTTTTAATTTTTTAGCCTCTTTAAACTTAAGATATATAAAAATAGGAGTGTACTTGAAGCTAATAAAATCTAGTTTTTTGTTTTCTTTTATGTCAAGGTATTATATTTATTCTTGCTATCAGCTTAGGGGAACAAGCTAATTCTTACAAGACAGCCAATGAAGACTCAAATGGTCTTTTGACTCAACAACATCCTGGCTGGGGTGATCAAACATTGCGAGGAGACTCAACGGCTTCTCAAGATGAAGTATCTGGTATGTAACAATTTTTATGTTGTGCTGAATTGCTAAATAGAGATGAAAAAGAAACCAGAATGAAGCTTGTAATAATTTTGATGGTGAACTTAGAAAAATAGTACCTGCAGTGTACTACATTAAGTAAAGACGTGTATCAATTTTTATTCACTGAAGAAAAATGTACTTTTCCAGTTCAGGCACCTCAAAAGAAAAACTATATATTCAGATATTCATTATAAAAAGTAAACTAATTAGAAGAGCATTTCCACTTCTGTATTTTTGCACAATGAAAAGTTACATGGTGCAAGAAGAAAACAAAATTACCCATGGTTAAAGCATAAAATTTGATGAATTGTGTGATGTGATGTAAAACTCGTTAATAGCTATTGTTGAGACTCTCATCCTACTTATATAACCAAGTTATTTGTATAGAAAGCTGTAAAATTATATTAACTGATACATGGGGATAAACATACATGAATCTATGTTGTTGTAGTTCTTTGCTACACATAATAATGACTCACTTTAAAGATAAGAATTTGTGAAATGAAAGTAACGAAAGTAATTTAATGTCATGGTCAACATATGATACCTACAGCTCATCAGATATTTTTCCAGTAGATTGTCAAAACGTAAATCGTCCTTTCTAATACCTTTAAATGTTTCTTTTCATGAAAAGCTGTGTTTTAAATAGGTATTCCAAACTTATATCTTTACCTGGCTGCACACAGTAGCTATTCCTGAGATTTTGTGCATACAAATTGACTTGAGCTATGTCCCACCTCAGATGTGTTTTAATGTGAAATATGCTATTGTATGATGTGATTATCATGTGACAGTAGCCCTCCACCAATAGGAAGGTGACACATCCTACATGTATAGTAAATCCCCATAAGCCTTTGCACTCAAAATTAACTTTGTTGTTTTCCTTGGCACTTGTACAATGTAGTTGCAGATTTGATTTAAACCTACAACACCTTTCAATTACTGCATAGGAAAAAAATTGGTCTGGAGATTGCCTTTCACAATGATGAATTCTCAAGTGACCATGAGTACTATCTCATCCCGAGATTCTGGGAATGTTGCTAATGTTGATCCTACTTTGCCCATGGTCACTGGAGGCTCACTGATTGTGGAGGACATTACTGTCATTGTTCAACTTGTGGTTTTGTTAGTACCTTCATTGCCTCATCTCTCTCTCTCTCTCTCTCTGTCCCTACGTTGAGAATGTGTTCTCCCTCTTTCTGATCCAAACAACAAGGATGGAGATTTGATCTGCTCTTTTCACCTTCCAGGTTTACACTAGGTTCCTTTTACCTGTAGAAACCAATGTTCCTCCTTCAATTCTCTTTGTGGATTTGAATTTTTAGGTTTATTCTTTACTTTCTTGTTCACCTTTGTTTTTTGATTCTTCATTTTCCTTACTGCATGCCTCATGTTGAGGATTATTTGATTTTCCTCCTGTTTCAGACATACATGTACATGTTTACCTGTTTCTGAACCATTTTCATTCACACACTCAAATGCCTTGTCCTTTCTGATTCCAGGATTCCCTTGCCATGGCTTATGGCTAATTCCCTTTGCCATGCTTGATTTTCCAATCTCTTGTGTCCTTTTTACGTATCTGCTTGGGATAATAGCCTCCATTAGCTCTCTCTAGTGCTAAATTTTCCTGTTTTTGCCTTCCTCTTACCCATCTTCTTTGTAATCTATCCTCTTTTCTTCTACCCTCTGAAGCTCTACACTATGGTCTTAATAGTTTTAAGGAGATCTGCAGTTGGTATATTTCAATACCTTGGACAGGGTATTGTCCTCTGCTTTGTCCCTGCTTATCTGGTTCCTCTATTGTTGGGACCTTCTGGAACATAATACTATTCTATCTGCTGTTTGTGTCACCTCCTTGACTGTTGTCCGACTTATTTTCTTTACCCCAAAGTCTTCCAGGGTGTTTGTAACAACACTTGAACTTAGTAGCAGATTGTCTTTCTCTCTGCCATATAGGATTCTTCCTATGGAGTAGTCACTCCATCCCCAGGTCATTTGTTGGAGCTGTTCCCAGTTGGGCATGTCACATCCGAAGGGCTCTGAACTTAGAGGTGAATTGTCCTTCCTTCAACTGGACAGGATTGTTCCTACGTAGTTTTCATTTCATCCTCAGGTCTTTCATTGGATCTGTTCCCAGTTGGACATGCCAATGATCAATGCCTTTGCTACTCCTTTCAATACCAGATTTTCCCTCTTCTGGTCCCTGGTACCTCACCCATCTGCTCTAGCTGTGGATGCCCTCAGCCAGGAGTGGTCTCATAGCTTTTTGTATGTTTACCCTTAGCTACAACCTTGTACCTCTCTTTTTTTACATGGGAGTGTTGTCCACTTGTTTTTGCATGTGGGATTTGTCTGGTCACTTGTTCGTTGGTCAGATTTCTCTGACTATGTAGCCTTTCTTTTATTTCATTTGTATTGCCCTTCTACTCCCTCTGTCTTTCAATAAAAGTAGCATGTTTTTCACCACTGGTTAATTTGCCACTCTTTCCCACCAGACCATCCTAATGTTACTCACCTTTTGGCCTTCTCTGCCTGGTTTTCAACTGAGGATTGTCTGCTTCTACCATGGCAGGCTATCAGACAGCCTTTTCAACTTTTTTTTCTATGGTTCCAACTTTTTTCCCCTTTTATTTCCCCCTTATTCAACGTCCTCCTCTTCCAGTTCATTTGCCTGGCTGGAACCCTAATATGGCTCTACATACTCTTACCCAACCTTGTTTGAACTAGTGGCCACTTGTTCATTATACCATCTCTCTCTCAAAACCTGTTTCCTTCTCCTCCTTGTTTGTGATCATAGAAGATGTGATCTTTATGTATTGGATGCCTTCTGTACATTGTTTCACAGATCTTCCTTGATCTTGTTCTATGACTGCTCATTTATTCCTATGACTTGGGTGGCTCAGGAGGGAGGTCATTCCTTTTCTCCTGTTTCTCTTCCATTAATCTTGACTCTCTATGGTCATACTGATCTTGATCTTCTTGTGTGTCCAGTTTGAGCAGTCAGGTGTTACTTGACATGCACAACTCCATTTTAGGGTTCCCACAATCATTTATTCTTGCCATGGGACCTCTTTTCTTCCAAAGATCATTCATCCTTTATGCTTATCGGATGAACTTGTCAACTCATCCGGATCTTATATTCCTCTCTGGATGGAGATGTTGACAGGCTGTGTCACGTGTCATCACATCAAATCTGCCACTTGACTCACTCACTAGCCCCATGTTTTTGACAACTCTTGGATGAGATCCTCCAGACTGGAATGTGGATTAAGCCCAACATCTTCATCTCCAATTACCACCACCATCTGATAGTTTTGTCCCCCTCAGGATATTGCCTATTTCCATTTGCCATTCTCCAATACAAAAAAAAAACTTCTGATGTGTAAATGCTTCTTATACTTCCTTACCTGTTTCTAATCTTATACGATTTACTTCTCAGAACCCACCCAGCATCAAGTGTGGCCTCATAGAGGGGGTACTTACTTCTCTAAAAACACATCGAGTCAGGGGTACTGGAAAGAATTATACCCTTCCACCCTGGCTCCAAATGTGCCTACTGTTGAGATGGGGTTTTCTGCAAGACCAGTAACGTGGTGTATGTATATCTTTCATTGTCCATTCGAGACTGTATCTTCCATGGACTAACATGAAAAAGCCAACACCATGGATGATGCTGAGGTGGTCAACTTGGATAGTTCCTCACTGGTTATGCAGTCCCTCCTTAGAGAGTCCAAGTGGGTAAAATAATGTAGTGGGAAGAAAGCCAGCAGTGTCCTTGTCTGTGTAGTGCAGGTCACTCCTCTTATGTAATATGCCAATTTCCCAATGGTTTGGCCAGCTGGATGGAGCAAAGCATTCTTCTCCTATGACAGGAAGGGACCTTCATCCCTGTTCCTGAAATGTAAAGTGAGTAAATGGTTAAACAAAACATATACCAAACTGTATAGTCTGATCATTGCCCTAGCCACACTACACCCCATGTCCAACTAACTGATCGTGTGCAAATCGCTTGACACTCTTGGCTTCTTTGCCTTCATCCTTTCATACTTCCTTCTGGGTAAAGAGTATATGCTGCATGA